AATTCATTATATCACGAACATAATTCATTACATATATTTCACCATTGACTCTATATTCATCCTCATCCAATTCATCAATATCAAAATCGTTATCTCTTGCAAACGATGGTTCAATTGTCACAATTTCCAATTCCTTACGTACGACTGGTAGTATGTGTACCATTTTTGGAGGTAGAAGTGTTGTTCGAGGATACGTTGGTGCGGCTGGAATATGAAGTCTTCGAGCACCAGTTAATGATGGATATAACGATAATTTTTTTTCTTGTTGTTCCAACGGTTTATTTTCTTGATCATCAACAGCAATTTCCAATTTTTTGACTGTTTCTGTTAGCGATGAGACAATAACTTGTTTTAATGTTTCACCTTCTTTTGTTGAATTATCGAGTGACGAACCAGATAAAATAGTGGCTAGTTTTTTAACAGAGCGACGTTTAAATACAGCATTTTTCATCACACCGTCACCAACTTTGGGACGTTGATGTTGTTGTCCCTTGAGAGGAATATTGATTGTATTAATTTTAACATTTGAACCATATTGTACATCATTGTTCACATTTCCTTCGCTGTACGTATTCGAAACTTGACTTAATGATCGACGGCCTAGCGGTTGTGTTGGAACAATTGAACCGCGCGTTATTGATTGCCGAGCTAATGATGTTTTTGTTGGACGAATTGCAATTACTGGATTTCTTGACGTACGCATTGTTCAAGATTTGGTTAGAGCTTGAAATGAATTTTTTATCTAGTACAAACCAAGAGTTGAAAAGACATCTTTAAAAGAACTTAGTACATCTAGCAAACGATCAAAACCTTACAGCAGATAAACCATTGTAAAGTAAGTAACATCTCAGCGGTTTCGTTTTGTATCTTCCAATATCACACAAAAACTACCGCTCTGTTACTTTTTTGTATTTATTTTTATACTGCAGCTTTGAAGATAAAAAGCTAACATGCAGAAATAAACCCATGATAAAAGCTAACTTCAGCTAACAAGTACAGAATCTATAAAGTGCAAAGTCTAGGTATGAAACTATTAAAATAAGATACGCTAGACAAAAAAATTAAATAGTTTCAAAACTCATTATAAACAGCCACTTTTCGAAAAGTGAAAACGCAGTAACCGACAGTATTTCTTAGACCTTCGTAATCAGGTGTACTCGGACAAAGGAGCATATGAATAGAGAGAGACGAAGAGCAATAAGTCTATTTACCGCGCACACACAAAGGAAAGTTGGACTACTACTAAACATTGACGATTCCGTACGCAGTAGTAATATGTATTTAAAACTGAAAACTAAATAACCAAGTTTTTGTGAAAAACAAAATGCTGTCAGTTTAAATGTATGTGCGTAAGTGCGTTAAGGATTGGTAATAATACTATCTTTCGCAGAGGGTAATGCCCACTAACTAATTCATTCAGCTAGCAGCCAATCTCTTTATCAAGAACAGAAGAGCAGCTTGCAATAGTGTGATGCTATACTATACGTGGTGTTTTTTTTTTCTGGTTGTCGCCAAAACGGCAGAAAATTTCGAAAGACTAGCCATCAATTTTAAAAACGCGCCAAATAACATTGTACAGCTTGAAAAGGCGAATATTAAGTAGGTTTTGTTTTGTTCACTCGGGTAAAGCAGATACTTCTGTTTGAGGCAAAATTCAATGAACTACTTTCTAGGTGCTTGAATCGTACTATCTAATCGTATACGAATCGTACGAAATCATATACGATTATGTACGATTTACATACGGATCGTGGTATCTAATTTGTTATCGGGTTCCTACTATACGATCCAGAGGACAAATCAGATACCACGATTCATATATGACTTTCATACGATTTTGTGTGATTCGAATACGATCGTATACGATTTGTTTGATCTAGGTTGATAAAAAGTTAAATTCAGGCAGAAATTCGTTAGAAGGTAGTTTTTCAACAGCATCATCTGTCACTGACTTTATTTTCATTTGTTTACTTGATCTATCTCTGTCTAATACTCTAGTTTTTCTTTTGTTAAATTGTCTTTACTATTTTATTGAGTCGGCTCTGAAAACTGTGGCCGTTTCTCTTTTTGGTTGATTAAAAAAGATTAATGTGCTCTAAATTTTTATCTTTCAGTTGTTTTTTGTTATATTTAAGTTAAGAAGAAGCAATTCATGTACACGATTTTACTACTTACGAGGGAACCTTTCGAGATGTCCGCTTCCAATTCTAAGGATTTGTACATGGACCGATAGACCTCAGTAAGGTAGTAAATATCCTAAAAGGATTCGTGCCCATGACTTGTGAAGACCCGTTTTTCCGAAAACCAGTTTTTCAAAAACTCTAAAAGATAACCCAAACCTTTTTTAATGAGGCATAATTGTAGCTCGCAAATTTCTGATTAAAATGAGGTATCTTCCAGCTCTACATGACCTTTCTTTGGAAAGTTATAGAATTTATAAGAAACGCCCTAAACGTTCATTGTCAGCTCAAAGCTACAGAAATAAGTAGAAATTAATTTAGAGCTTTTCTTGTAAATTCTATAACTTTGCAAAGAAAGGTCATGTAGAGCTGGAAGATGTCTCATTTTAATTAGAAATTTGCGAGCTACAATCATGTCTCATTAAAAAAAAATCTTTTAGAGTTTTTGAAAAACGGGTCTTCAAGAACCATGGGCACGAATCCTTTTAGGATATTTACTACTTCACTGAGATCTATCGATCCATGTACAAATCCTTGGAATCGGAAGAGGATATCTCGAAAGGTTCCCTTCCTAGCTAGAATACAGTGGTATAAGCAGGTTTGCTGTTTATATATTTTAGAAGATGACAAGCGATAATCATCAAATTTTGCAAAAACTCATTAACAATTTATCCGGTGATCTTCGGCAACTTTCGAATGAAACAAAGAAAAAGTATCCTCCTATCAAAGAGGTTTGTAATGGAATTTTCTGCTCATTTTTCAGCTTTCAACTTTTTCGATTTCTTTTATTTCAGGCAGCTGAAGCATGCAATATGAAGTTACGTGAATACAGTATGATTAGAGAGAATCTTAGTACAGGTAAAATAGTATTTTGTTTTTGTAGTTTCTCAGCACTATTTGTCTTACATTCTTTGAACAGTGATGCGTGATGCTAGCGTCGAACTATTACAACCGTTTGTCCTTGGCTGTGATACAAAACAAGTTAAAATTGTTCAGCTATGTTTAACATCGATACAAAAACTATTACAACATCATATTGTTAATCAAGTATGAAACAATTCTTCAACAATTCTTTCAGATTTCATCCTGTTTATTTCTAGTCATCGGCTGCTACGACGGTGAACATATTGAGCACTTTATGCGATCTCAACACAGAAGAGTTAAAGAGCTTGCAAACAGTTTTGTTGCTTGTTAATACAACTTCGGTTGTTGTACATAGTACGCTAGCAACTGTAAGTTTTGTCTGTGGCTTTTTATTGACGTGAGATTGTTATTCTCGGTTATCTGTCTTTAGTTATTTGTCATTACATTTCGATTGTGCTTCAGTAAAGATCCGACGATTGTTAACACAGCAACAGCAGCAGTCAGACAGTTGGTAACTGCCGTTTACGATCGTGTTATTGAAGAAGATTCACGAGTGCACGGTTAGTAGCAGAATTGTTTGTATGAAAGACAACATACTTTCTGGTTGGATTTCAGGTTTCCACTGCGAGAAACTTGAACTTCTTCTTCTTTAGAGACACCATCCACTACAGCATCTCAGCAAATCGAACAACCATTATTACAAGATACTGATTTTATGAAGCATCATTCAAAAGATTCTTTGAATGTCGAAATGTTACGTCCGTACGCCAAAGATGCCTACTTATTATTTCAAGATTTATGTTATTTAATCAATGGCGATCAACCAATATGGTTAATCGGTTTAACAGAAATAACTCGAACATTAATACTAGAATTAATTGAAACAATCTTGACTTACTACTCGCCTGTATTTCATCAACATAGTGAATTTCGATTTTTGTTGAAAGAACGTGTATCACCGTTAATAATCAAATTATTCTCACCAGGCGTGAAACACATCAATAAAAGTGAAAAACTATTAGCAAACAATGTATTAATGAATAGCCAAATGAGTGGTGGAAATACACATGATAGCGCTTATTTTCCATTGATAGCCCGTCTACTAAGAGTTGTGTGCATTCTAGTTCGTTTATATTTTTCATTATTAATTACTGAATGTGAAATATTTTTATCATTATTAATCAAATTGTTAGAACAAGATAAACCCATCTGGCAACGCTCACTAGCCATTGAATGTATTCATAAAATATTAATACAACCACATCTTTTAAAACTGTTTTGTTTATCTTACGATATGCAACCACATGCGAGTAAAATTTTGAGAGATTTAACGAATGGAATCAGTTCATTTATTCAGTCATTCTTTAATAATTCACTTTCGTCATCGTCAACTTCATCAAATGCTGCTGCGGCTATTTCAGCTCAGTCGTCTTCTATGTCCGCAACGGAAAAGAAAGGTGAGCAGTAGAGTACTGTACTCTTCAGATCTTTAAGAGGATAAAATTAACAAGGGTAGACATGATTTATGAAATTCTATGTTTTTTATATAGGTACTGGCAGTGGAAATACAAAATCCGATAATACAAATTCGTATCATTATCAAAACAGCAGTAGTAGTAACACTAATACTCTATTATTTGTTTATCGTCAATTATATGTACCACAATATGTAACGTACCAACCAGGTCAAGCAAAATGTGCTTATTTAGAAAATTGGGAAAAATTTGATTGCCCATTGATACCTGATTCCTACGGTGTTGTTGTTGCTTATTCATGTATGTTAGAACTCGTACGTAATGTTCAATTAATTCTCGCAGGTGATGAAATGCGTGTTGATGTTATGCCCGGATCACAATTAAAAACACCAGTACAAATTAGACCATTCGATAAAATAACATTAAATGCAAAAAATGAATATACTAAAATAATGAATTGTACATGGTCAGGTATACTTGCAACATTTACACTGTTGTATGATGTTTGCTACGATGATACAACATGTGAACACATATTAAAAGCATTTCAAACATATATTTCTTTATGTGGTCTTCTGCAGATGAATATTCAACGTGATGCATTTGTTACGTGTCTATGTAAAACAGCACTGCCACATCACTACAATATTCATGTACTGAATAAATATAATAATAGTACGCCAAATGGAAGCGGAGAAATGAATTTATTACAAAAAATAACATCTTCATTACCTCGTACATATGAGTCAACGTCGTATGATCTAGACAAACAACATGTAGTGATCGTGGGAACAGCGTTACCGTTGGCGAACGTATCAACAAGTCAAGCATCAGTTATGGTGAGATATCGCAATTCTTTAATTAGTTTTCTGTGACATGATGACACCTTCGCGTTTTCCCAGTCCTTTGCATTGTTGGACTTCACATTCTCTCTTTGAGTTAGAAGGAATCTGCTTTTATTTACATCTCTGACCAACTAATTTGAACATTACTTTTCCTGTTATTTTAGCTAACATCGAAAAATATTCATTGTATGCGTGCAATTTTGGCTGTTGCCCATTGTTACGGTAGTATCTTAGGAACAGCATGGCATCTCATCTTGGAAACATTACAACATTTAGTATGGATAAGTATGTATTCTCTGTATGCAGAAAGGCAGTTTGCCGACTAATCCTCCTCGAAGTTAACTTTATTTTAAAATTATTTCTTTACTTTTTTTTCGGTTTTAGTTGGTTTTAGACCATCTACTGGTGGTACATTGAAACATACGGGTGCCACAAATGACAATACAAATTCAGCAAATTCACCAGTTATTACCACAGCAGCAATGGCTGATTTACCTATATTATCATCAATGCTCTCGCGTTTATTTGAATCTTCTGAACATTTAGACGATGTTGCATTACATCATTTAATTGATGCTTTAATACGTTTGAGTATTGAATCGATGGAAGTAGCTGTTAATATTAGAGAACCATCTTTATTTGCTATTGCTAAAATATTAGAAACTGGTACAGCTAATTTAAATCGAATTGATGTTTGGTGGAAACCAATATCATCACATTTAATCGAAGTGAGTCTTCTTGTTTTCAAGTTATATTAATCTCTTCTAATATAAAACAGCACTTTTTGACCAAAAGTAATGTCTGTCATTTATACGAGTTTAATGAATTAATCAAGTTAATATATTATGTACGTTGTAAATTATTCTAGACTTGTTTTAGGTTTGTCAACATACCAATATTCGTATGCGTGAATGGGGCACAGAAGCACTGACATTATTAGTTCGAAATGCTTTAGATCATAAATATGATAAGAATTTATTCGAGAATGAACGTTTATTACACATGATTATCATGTCATTACAAGAACTATCATTAATTCAGCATTTTGATGTTAGACAAAAACAGTTAGAATGCACTTTATCTATATTGAGAAATAATGGACATGCGCTACAAACTGGATGGCCATTAATATTGAATAGTACGTCAATTCTTCGTTAGATTTGTTTGCTCTTTATTAAATTTGACATTGTTTTGTTTCTTCAGTAATTGGTTCAATAACTCGGGAGCATACAGAAAATTTAATCCGTTTAGCGTATCAATGTTTACAACTAGTTGTTACCGATTATTTACCAACAATACCTGTACAATATTTAGGAATATTGATTAAAGTTGTTGCCAAATTTGGTTTTCAAGAACAAGATTTAAATATGGCCTTGTCAGCTATTGGTCTGTTATGGAATATGACAGACTATCTTTTCCGAATGAAAGAACAAGAACAACAGCTGAAAAATGTAAATGATTTTCTGGATATCAATGAAATATACGATAATTTAACACCCATAGAAGAATTATGGATGATACTCTATCGAAAGTTAACTGAATTAACCATCGACCAACGTCCAGCCATAAGAAAATCATCATCATCTACTCTATTTACAATGATAACATCACATGGACAACTATTGAGTGAATATGCATGGAAGATATTATTGTGGCAAGTATTATTTCCACTATTTGAACAAGTTGAACAATTCTTCCATACATCATCAAAAGAACGTGAACAGCAACAGCAACAAATTCGTTCAATTAATGCCGCATCAACACAAGAAATAATGATGCATCATTCACGTGATACACCAGAAAAACAATGGGCGGAAACGTACGTTATGATATTAGCCGGTATTACAAGAACAATACAAATAAAGAAAGAGTTTCTATCCAAATTAGGTAAACATACATAGCTGTTATGTTTAAAAATATAGCACGGATGGTGATAGTAACGGGTGCTTCAGAATAAATCGGTCATTTAGTATTTTGTTCATATCTTAGTTGAATTGTATCCCCTAAGCTTTGTTGTTTTCTCAAAAGATGTGCCGTAAAATTCTCTACAAAAACTATATTAAACATTTTTCTATATACTGTAAAGATAAAAGAATATCGAAGAAATACTACGAAGCTTCGATCTCGATTACTTTGCAATTCAAAAAACAATTTTTTCAATTTTAATCCTTCATACTTTGTGAAACAAAAAATAAGAAGATGGCCATTTGATAGCCCTTGAAAAGCTCTATCAAGTGTCGATATTTAAAACGTTTCGTAATCATAATCGGTTGTGGAAGAATTTTTTTTTCTTTTATCGACTGTCCTCGACATCAACATTTACCAACTGTAGTTTTGGTGTAGTTAGAAAAACGTTTATAACTCGATCAAAATCAAACATTTTGAGATCGGGTTTTCATCTTAAAGTAAAATAATTCTTCTGTTATATCCGTACAGAGAAAGTTCAATATTTACCTTTGTTTTCCTGTGTCACGACGAAAAAGACAAAATTTGCCCTTTTTTTGTTAGATTTTAGTATAATCATCTTTTGTGCCAGAAAAACACGTTTAAGCCGAACCTATGATAGACGAAAAGAAAGACGACCCTTCAAAGCACCAGAACTTATGTTCATGATTCCACCTTTATGCATGACACCGTGCTCAAAATATTTGTTTTCATTGTTTTTTGAATTGCAAAGTAATCGAGATTGAAGCTTCGTAGTATTTCTTCGATATTCTTTCATCTTTACGATATATAGAAAAATGTTTAATATAGTTTTTGTAGAGAATTTTACGGCACATCTTTTGAGAAAACAACAAAGCTTAGGGGATACAATTCAACTAAGATATGAACAAAATACTAAATGACCGATTTATTCTGAAGCACCCGTTATAGATGATACGAAGCTCGTCAGAGGACATCGAATTCGTCATCAGTTAAAATTTTAGAATAATGAAATAACCAAAATTAAACATCTTCTGCTCTTTCTTCTGTGTAGACGATTTTCTGAAAGTGTGGTGTGTCTTATTGGAAAATATACAAAAATCTGCGTTGGCTAAAAATCCAGAAATAGCCTTAGCTGCATTAAAATGTTTCAATGAATTAGTATGTACAGTCCCATCGTCAACAACTACCACTACAAATGTCGTATCCCCGCCTACAGTAGCTGCACATTCCAATAAACAGCAACTACCACTATGCACTTCGTCTGATGATCAACAACTATGGCATCAAGCCTGGATTGTATGGTTAAATATTGGACGTGGTTGTACAAAATGTCCACCGGAAAAAGTAATTATTATCGATCGTTATGATTCAAATGTACCATCACAAAATTTTTTAACCTATTATGTTGACATATTTCCGAATATAATACAACACATATGGTCAACAGAATTTTTATACAATCAACAAGATTTTGAACAATTTTCATTCATAATTGAACGAGTTTTAGCTATACCAGTACATTCAGATATGGCTTTATTTTTAATACCGACCGATGTTAATTTAACTCTGTTGCAAGAATCAGCATTCAAAGCAATGGATTTTATCAAAAAGGTAAATGAGATCATTCTAATTCTTGCTCATGTTAATTAATATTTTTTCGTTAAGAATCTCAAAGAATCATCGTCTCATACAACACAATCTCCTTTATTACCATTGTTCTTTCAACGTTTACTTATTTTATCCTCATATGCCATCAATGCACCAATATTCGAAAAAATACCAACAGTAAAACAGCAATCATCACAACAAAATGTTAATATAATAAGAAGTAGTGGTGGTGAGCATTCAAGCAATGCTAATTTTGTACCATTTAGTGAAAAAATTTTGCGTATGGCAGTCGGATTGTATGAAGATGTTGCTGAATATCCCTCGGTGATTGAAAATGGAACATTGCAAACAATTATACAAGTAAATGATATTGATCTTCACCTGTACAAATGAAACTCGACTAATGCCCAACTCATATCCTGTACCGCATCTGAAGTTTTAGTGATCTAATATTTAAAACTTTCTCAATCATTTTTATGAGACAATAGATTAAATATTTGATATTTGTTCTTTTTATTTAGACGTTACAAGTTCCGTTATCAATGAAATATAATTGTCCATGTACATCAACGTGGAAATTGGCTATTGAGTGTTTTTTTCGTGTATTAAAAGTTGGCTTAGTTGTAGCAAGAAAATATCGTTAGTATTGTTTAATCATTTGTGAAGTTCTAATTCATTTGTAATATTTTCTTGTTTATTGAAAAATAGGTAACGCATTTGAGGGTATGTGGCCAGAATTAGCAAAAACACTCGATGATTTTCTATTTTCAAAAAGGTATCCTAATTATTTCTTATTTTTATTTTTATTTGAAATAAAATATTTATAAACATTTTTAGTGTGCCTCCAGTTGATATTCCGATAGATGAAATTCAACGCGATGAATTGATTGATTGTCAAGTACATAAGAAAAAAATAATCATAAATTGATTTGAATTTGAGGTGAATTTTTGTTATATTTATAGGTAGTTGAACTAATTCGAGATGATATATTGTCATATTCAAATTTGCTGTCTGAAACATTTGTTATGAAAATATTAAATATCTTAAATCGAGGTTCCATTTATTCTTGTACAACAGATAATTTTATAGGTGAGTGACAGTATACATTTGTTTTATTTATTCTTAAATATTGTGTCATTATTTTGTGTTCAGATATTGATTCTGTCAGACATTTGCGTGAAGAATTTTCTAAAGTCTGTTTTGAAACTCTACTAAAATATTCATTTATAAATGAAACAACATCCTCTTCAACAAACGATGGCATGCTTATCACAAAACTTGCTCTTAGTTCAATGCTTAATAGATGTAATGAAATTATGCAAAAATATGCACGTGATGAACGTCTGCATGGAAAATGTCCTTTACCACGGTAAATTCAAATTTCAATTTTTTTTTTCTATTTGCTTCTTTTTATTGCTATTGTTCGATATAATAAATATCATCAAATGAGGTATTCAAAAGAAAAAAAAGGGTCGTCTCTTATTTTGATTATTTCAGTGAAAATTTTGATCTAACCTCGTTGTCATCGTCGCCATCATTAAAAGTGGAAAATTCACCAGCAGCATTATTAGCACAAAACAACAACAAGCATACAGCAATATTATTTTCGTAAGTGCATGTCAGGATCACAAGTTAGCCCTAAATAGTTCGCATGTTTATTCTTATCGATGGCTATCTTTCTTTCAAGCACACGCTACTATACTGCATTTGTTGCACGATTAAAATTGCTCGATAATTTATAATGCCTCATTTGATGATCATTTTCACTTGATTTATTTTAATTGTTGTAGTACCACTTTTTTTGTCATAAATTTATTTCTTTTACAAAAATAGTTAAGTGAGGTAGGTCTTCAGATAGAATGAGACTAATGGCAAGCATTTATTCAAGTACGATTGAATTTATTCAGTTTTATCTTGTATATATTGCATAAAGGTATTTTAATATTCCCTCTAACTACTCGATTATTTAATTATATCACAAAACGAAACTTTTAATGCTTCGACAAATAACATCTTTTTTTTGTAAATTTTCAGACCACGAACAGCCGAAATGATTTCAGTATTGAAGGCACTTGGAACATTGATAACAGCACTTAAAAAAGCGCCAAAAGACTCAGGTAAGCTACTTTTTTCTAAAACTTTTAATTATTATGTAGGAATATGTTAGGTTCTCTCAGCTATAGACAGTTGTCTTTGTATTCTTGATCTATTGAGAATGAACAAATAATCAACAAATTTATACGATGTAACGAGTTCATTTATGTGCGGTACTTTGTTGAGTTAACATATGCATTACTGTTTGTTTTTATTTCCTTGTTTTTGTTTCCATTCGTCTTCTGTTGGCGAAGCAGTGATTGTCTCGAATAATAAATTCTTCCTGAAATATTTATTTAATCCTGGCTGTGATTTCATTGCTTGTTCATGTTTATTTAATGCTTGGCATTCATTCGATGGATATAATTTGATCGCCACATCTCGAACTAATGTATAAGATTCAAATACGAAATAATCAGCAATTGTTGGCTCTTGTTGATTATAGAAATAGGATGTTGAGCTTTGTTGTAACAATTTATCTAAGGTTTTGATACTGTCGGTTATTTTAATACCTAGACGATATTCTGAATTATTTTTGTCTTCAAAATCAGCATTAGACCAAATGCTTTGCAACATATTTAATATCACATCTGTATAAGCACATGATACGACGCCATCGATTTGTGCCATATGAAGCTCTTGATCTGTATCATTATCAGTTGATTTACCATACAATGAAAATTTTTTTGCTAAGAATTGTCCAATGGGAAATGTTTGCGCAATGATATGTTTACTATTCCAATGTAATATTGGTAAATTTCCAAATGGTCCCGTTATATTTGCATCTTTTTTCTTAGCCGGCCATGCTCCTTTTGCTTCTATTAACTCGAATGTTTCACTATATTCAACATTTGGATATTTTTCAACAATATCAGCTAACATATAACGAATCGTTTGAACTCGTCCACGACAATTCCAATAATGCAAACGAATATTGATCTTCTCGGACTGATTTGCTGCCATTTTGAAATCAAACAAATTGTAGTTTTGCTAGTGTATGAGTGAGAAATCTATGCGCAAAAAACGTTTTTCAAACTAAAAGTAAACTATGCTATGTAAAGATTAGAAAATCGAATGAGTAAAACTAGAAGGAGAGAAATTTAGGACACTCTTCAGTCTTCTGTTTGCATTCAAACAGGATAAGAACAGGTAGAAAGAAAAGTGTCCATTGTCTGGAAGAAAGAAAATGACCCAAGCAAGTATCACCTATGAGAAAAATCTAGATACATTTCGTCTGTAATCGGGCGATACACGACTAGTTGCCATCTAGATTACTAGTTGGAAAAGGGACTTTTAACTAGATGCATCTGCATGTGCAACTAGCAATAGTTAAATCGATCGATTATCGGGCGATAAATCGATAATTGCAACTAGAAAAAATCTAGTAATCGCCCAATTAGTAGATTTTCACTGTCGTTACACAGTAGTTGCAATCGAGTAAAAATCTAGTAATCTAGATGAATCGAGCGATACCAGATTTTTTTTGAACGCTTGGGTGAATTTATTTTGATAAAAACCAATAAAACTTTCTTCATAAACACGAGTCTGACCCCTAAAAAAAACACTATAATGTTTTATATGTGAAAAGGAATGAAAGAAAGGAAGAAATGACAAATATATATAGATGTCATGTATATATTCAGAAAAGAAAAAAATTGATATAGATATACGCCGTGATGTGGCAGCGAAATATTCGGTTCACCTTGACAGATCGAGAATACCTTGAAAAAATTCTGAGAAATAACAGAAGTAACGCAGAAGAATCCCAAAAAGATACCGTATGAATGAGTTTTAATAACTCAACTGCTGTAATATATGCAGAACAACTTAGTCCAATCGACTTTTTGTTACTCTTCCTATGTTTCTCGTTTTAGTTGAACTCAATATTTGGCATCAACTAATTGGTCTTTATCCATGTTTAGTTGAATGTACAACATCACCATCACAACAAATATGTACAGCTGTTAAAGAGACGCTGCATCAGTATTTTTCATTACTCGCTCCACCACTGTCTATTCGTTAATCTGGATATACTAACCGAAATCTATCTATTTTTATTCTTTTGAAATGATAGACAAGCATTACTTATATTCGATTGTATATAGATATAAAATACAAATTCTCTTTCATTCCACTTAAATTATTGCTGTATTTTTTTTGTTTATGGAAACGGTGCTTTCATTTTACTCTTAGTATCCTCTTCAAACCTTAATCAGATTTAGTGCTTTTCATACATAAATTCTACGCAATATTTGCAGGAAAAAGGAGAGAATGTGATCAGTAAAAGATTTCTTTTTTTTTTGTTTCTATATTTTTCGTTTGTGCAACTATAAGAATTATATAAGGACATTTTCATCTGAAGTGTCCATTGCTTTTTTTCATTTGCGCTGTCGTTGTATTTATTTAATTTGTTACGTTTTGCTTTTATTTATTTCCAAGCTCATTTGATTATCTATTTATAGTTGAAAAATATTATATTATATACCATCGTTTTGAAAGTTAGATAGATTGTGAATGTTGAACTGTACTGGAATTTTTAGATTACGTTATCTTACCTTTTATTTGAATAGGAATAACGTTTTTTTACTAGAATATGCATTCATCTCGCTCTTTTCAGCAAAATTAAAAAGAATGTCGCTTAAAATTTAATTTCAATTTTTTAGAGATAGTTTCAGTCATGTCAGACGACGAAGGTCCCGATTACGAACAATTGCGTGGAATGGGTTTCATTTGTTGGAGAGAAATAAATGATTATAATACAAATGATAATGATACTCCTATAGCAGTTAGTGTTTTCTCTAGTTTAGTATTAACTTGCTGGCTTTTTGTAGAAAACTGCCACTTGTCCGCCTTGAATTCATTCTATACTAGTGTATAGAGGAACTTTCGCTCATTCTTTTTATGACACTCATTGATCTTAGAATACGATTACCGGTACCTAACAATTAACTTTCCCCATTAAGGTACTGTGAGGTATGAGTAAACATGGAAATGGCATATCTCTGTAATGAAATACTTTCTAAGCAAATGGATGTCAGATACGAGTAGCATTTAACCCAATAGATACGTTAATTGTACCTATGCATCAAGTGCTTTTCTACTTTTTACGATCGTCTGAAGTTCGATAACATTAATTCGAGATATGTAGTGACAAAATCAGGTGATTAATATTATATTTTTAGTTAATCCTCTATTTCTGTATACTTCTTTAATTCTTTTATTGTTATCGGCCTCGTTATATGTCACTAAAGTAGACTACCATTGTTCTTTATAAAAACAAACACATTTTTATGGTGTGATGTTTTTAAGGCCTGGTCTGTGTCATTTGCGCTTCATGAGCCTACAGGTGTTTTTTCATCTGCTAGGTTTGTGCTCTTTCATACTTTCTTTCAAGATGACTGATATTTTCGTTTTTCAGTGTGCAACACTGTAAAAAGCACAAAAAGACAACAGAATGGACAGAAACTCGAAAAAACTCAAAACTCAGTCAACGAAAACTACGGAGTCACGAATGCGCTGCCGGTAGGCAGACGACTGAAAATTGCTGTGTTGTGCATCGGTAAGAAGTATGAGGAACCACCACTCAGCAGATGAAAAAATATCTGTGGGCTCAATGAAACGTAGAAGACACATACCAAATCTCAAAAACATTACACCATAAAAATGTGTTTGTTTTTACAAAGAACAATAATATTTATCTCGGCGGACATGTGGCAGTTTTTCTACGAAAAGCTAGTATGGTCCTTTATCTATTATATACTTTTTTTTGATAGGATACAGAAAATAAATCTAAAAAGAAAAAAAGAAAATTATCGATTTCAGAGGAAAATGTGCCAACAAAAACTGATGATATTCCAGCCAAAAGTATAATTTTAACCTTTTCTGTACAAGAGTGACTTAGTAGTAGGTATAAATAATCTTTTTAGAATTAAAAACAAAGAAAAAAAAAAAAGCTTCAGCCACACGTTCGAATCAAACACACGCTACATCAACATTGCATAGTGCTAATAAACCAGCTAGCAACAATGCGGACGATGACAAGTCACAAATGGAACATGGTAATTCTAAACTTGATCTTGTGTAATGGACTCATTTCGTAATATTAAACTGTTTTTTCTATTCAAGATACGGCAAGAAAAATATGGTTAGATTTAGGTGTATCAAAAACGATTGTTCAAGCTCTCATTGAACAAAAATTTTATGAACCAACTCAGATACAACGAATGGTATTACCATCAGCAATTCGTGATCGATTAGATATAATTGGAGCTGCTGAAACAGTGAGTTATATTCTAAATGTAAATAAAGTATAATAAAGATGATATATTTTGTAGGGAAGTGGAAAAACGTTAGCATTTGGAATTCCAATTTTAACACACATGGAAAATTTAATTAAACAAGGTGAGGTGCGTTAGTATTGAAACTTATTCTTTCTAACATTTACTAAAAATATCTTATTGTTGTTCTAGGTGAAATATGGCCAATTTTTAACTCTTATATTGACACCAACACGTGAATTAGCTGTACAAATTACATCTCATTTACAAACAGCATGTCAATATACAAAATTAAATGTAAAAAATTAAAAGACATTCTTTCTATTTAAAAGTAGAACGCTTTTTTAATGATTAGATTGCTGTTGTTGTTGGTGGTATGTCAACACATAAACAAGAACGACTTTTATCAAAACATCCAGAAATTGTTGTTGCAACACCCGGACGATTTTGGGAACTAATAAACGAGGTCTGCTTTAAATTCATGTTAATTTCTCAATTTTTATTTTGTATATTTGGGATTTTTGTCTAGGGAGACAAACATATATCAAACTTATCACAATTAAGATTTTTAGTGATTGATGAAACCGATCGAATGATCGAAAAAGGACATTTCGTAGATTTAGAAAAAATTTTAAACTTATGCAACAAGTAGGTTACTAAACTATTATTGTTAAACTGTCATTCGACACTTTCAATCTGACATTTCTTACAATCAACAAAGTTGAATAGATTTTACATTTCTCATCGGGTGGGACGAGAGCAGTGAGAGGGTGAGAGAAGAGAACAATTCAACAAGCTGAAAATCTATGGGATAGAACTTTGTATGAAAATTGTTATAGTTAGGAGAAAATCTTTGTTACTTAAAGCCATTTGGATTAACTGCAATCATAGTTGAAACAAGCGAATGAGTTCAAAGAAGCTCAAAATTGTCGTAGAATGTATATGTATGGTAGTATAGGAGACTGCTGAAACATCGGTTAATCCTGTAAAACGATGAGTCTGATTCATTTAACCTATTCTAGTGAGGAAATGAATCATCCACAACGTCAAAAATTTGTATTTTCTGCTACTTTAATGATGAAAGAATTAGAGGCAATGTCAAAAAATAAAAAGCAAGCAGTTACAGATGAACATGAAAAGTTGGGTATGTTCCTTATTTTAGAAAAATTATTTTTAAGCGATAATGCTTTTTTCCCATTTTTAAAGCGGTTTTGATCTCAGTCGTTGGCATGAGTACAAAACCAAAAATAATTGATTTGACAAAGAAATTTGGTACTGTTGAAACTTTAACAGAAGCACGTGTTACATGTTCATTAGAAGAAAAAGTATGATAAACATTGATACTTATCAAAGTAATCATTATTTATATCTACTTATATGTTTAGGATCATTATTTATATTATTTTTTGTCGTTATATCCTGGACGAACGTTAATATTTACAAATAGTATCGATTGTATAAAACGATTACAATCTATCTTAACGATATTAAAAATGAATTCATTACCATTGCATGCACAAATGGAACAAAAACAACGTCTGACAAATTTAGAGAAATTTTCTAGTAAAGAAGAAAGAACAATGTCATAGTCAAATATATTTAATATCACTAAATATTCTTGTTCAGGTTCAGAGAATGGTATATTAATCGCCACTGATGTTGCCGCCAGAGGACTCGATATTCCGAATATACAACATGTTATTCATTATCAAGTACCACGCTCAACACAAGTAATAAAAATTTTAATCTATTGAAAGAATAATTACTATTCTTTTTTTCTTGTTAAATAGCTTTATATTCATCGAAGTGGACGAACAGCACGTGCTGAAAGAGAAGGTTTAAGTGTGATAGTTATTTGTCCGGAAGAATTACATTTATATAGAAAAATTATTAAAACGTTAAATAGAGGTAAAAATGATTAGTATTGAAATAATTATTTAATTAGTAATACATTCAAACTGTGTATAACTTTAAGCAACGACTATTTACATTTTCATATGCCTATGCTAGTACCTTTTCAACTATTACTAATGTCTCTTTCACTTGTTAGTTCCACTCGAGATGTCTTTCTTATTTCTATTATCATTTAGACGAAGATTTACAAACATTTCCTGTTGATTTTACTAATTTTTCTAATATAAAAAAACGTGTAAAATTAGCTGTTGAAATATCAAAATTACATCATCAAGTGGCCAAAACGACGCATGAAACAAATTGGTATTTTAAAGCAGCAAAAGAATTAGATATTGAATTAGATGAAGATATTCGGTACATAAAATTTGTTTGCTAATAAAAAACAAAAGTATTATATTTCTAATTTTATTCTAGTGATAATGAGTTAGCAAAATCAGCTGGTACAAGTGATTCGAAAATAAAAGAGCAACAATTAAGAAATGAATTGAATATTTTATTAAAACAAAAAATAAAATCATCAGATAAAATTTACTCAAACTCATACCCGTTACTGTTTGGTGATCCAGAAAAATTGTTAACAAAAAGTAGGAAAAAGAATATACATGTTTCATTTTATTATTAATATTGTCTTATTTTTAGAAGTCAACCTGACAGCCATTGACGAATTGAAACAGAGAAAACCAAAGCAAAAGAAACGAAAAGCATGACTTTGATTTGTCATCTTAAATTGTTTCTGTCATTTTCCTTATATTGTGTTTATTTTCATTTTTTGAAAATAAATTTGAACACTATCATAATGTGCTACTATCAGAAATTCCGTATATAATGTGCCACTTTTTTCAACTCTTTGCTTGCAAATAGTTTGAATATCTATGCTACGCTTAGAAAATATTGAATTTTGCCTAGTTTTTGATGATATGTTTGGCTTACAATAAATTCTTGTGTTCCTTGGAAACTTTCGAAATAGTAAACTCCGTCAGAAGTTATTACTGCGACCTAACAAAGTATCCTCGTTTAGAAGCAAGGCTTTGCATCACATAGCCACTAGGGTACCAAAAGATTCGGCTGTAAAAGCTCTACCAAATCCTATGAAATAGAATAAATAATAACGTTTAGTTTTGTGACCAAGGCGGGCAAAAGAGGAAGAGTAACGACGATAAGGTCATTTTTCATTCTTCATTTTCAAAATGTTGATTTTTGCCTAGTTTTTGATGATATGTTTGGCTTATAATAGATTCTTGTGTTCTTTTAAAAATTTTAAAATAGTAAACTCTGTTAGAAATCATTACTGCGACCTAAAAACTACTCTCAGTTAGAAGCGAGGCTTTGTGTCACATACACAGTGGGCATTTTCCCATAGATCAGGCGGACATCTGGCTTTTTGAGTTAAAAAATGATTACTTTCGCATAATATAGTCTTATTCTGTGTTAGGTATTGATAGAAGTAAAAAAAAGTCAAATTCGAAAAAACATTTTTTCGATAAAAAATCCCTTACATTAGTGGAAACCCTTGCCCTGAATCTTCGTCAAAAAATGTTTTATTTGTAAAACTAACAAATTATACATTATTCGATACAACTTTACGCGCTGTTTTCAGTTAACTACTTAAGCTGAGCAGTTTCTGTTCTTTGAATCCGTTTTCAGTTATACAGGAGTCCTTGTAAGTGAGATATGATGCAGGAATCACGCTTAAGTGAGAGCTGAACAGTGTGAAATTCTGGCTTGTAATGCGAGCATGTGCTGTGACAGGCTAATAATGTATTAGAAAGTTTGGAAATATAACTTTTTATATGTCTTAAAGATTGCGCTTTCCAACGGCATTGTTAAAAAAGCTGTAAAAGAACTTTTCCGGCTTCTTCAGAGATCGTCGGTCTGTGTAAAATCAAGTTTAGGCATTGCGAACAATACATCAAAACACACTTCCAATGTGTTTTTTGACACGCTAATTCTTTTAGTTTGATCGAAAATTTATTCAGGATTTCTTAAAAATCTAGCATCTCTGGAAGACATCCAGTCAAAAATGGCGAAATACAGTTTTCATTCGCTCATTATAGTGATTTACTGTTCAGAAACAATCTTTTAGCGAAGTGAGAGTGTGGTGCAAGTTGAGCGGATTAACGGTCGCTTCAAAAGAACTTGAGCCTAAGGGAGTGTTTATTTATAGAAAATCTAGCTCGATTTTCAAGAAAGTTGGAAAATTGACATCAATTTTCGACATTGTTGGGAATTATTCATAGAAAATCCTCCACGGATATCTATCTAGAAATTCTTGTACATTGAGGTAAAAGAACGGGTCAGAACAAGACACTGTATAGATACTTACTTATTTAAAGAACTATTGATGATTTCAATTTTAATAATAGTTTTGAGTAGTTTTAATCAACAGTGTTCAAACTCAATTACGCTACCTGAATAATCGTCAGTTTCCAATGCCTATGAACTCGGTCTAATTCTGGTAGTTGTTGTTTTGGATGACGGAAATCAATTATAAAGTAATTCAAAAAAATGAATTGTAAAATAATTCGAATTCTATTACTTTGAAT